GAGGAGAGAGGAGAGAGAGAGAGAGAGAGACGAGAGTTATGAGAGAGAGAGAGAGAGAGAGAGAGAGAGAGAGAGAGAGAGAGAGAGAGAGAGGGAGAGAAGAGAGAGAGGGGGAGAGAGGAGAGAGAGGAGAGAGAGAGAGAATGAGAGAGAGAGAGAGAGAGAGAGGAGAGAGAGGAGAGAGAGAGAGAGAGAGAGAGAGAGAGAGAGGGGGGGAGGAAAAGAGAGAGAGAGAGAGAGAGAGAGAGAGAGAGATGAAGGAGAGAGAGAAGAGAGAGAGAGAGAGAGAGAGAGAAGAGAGAGAGAGAGGAAGAGAGGCGGCGCGCCAGCGCGCAAAAACTACACACACACACGTACAACAGGGTACAATTTCCTCTTGCTCGTAGGCCACACAAGGCTCAGTCTGTGCGACACACATCTGAACTCCTCTACCCACAAGAGAGAGAGAGAGAGAGAGAGAGAGAGAGAGAGAGAGGAAGAGAGAGAGAGAGAGAGAGAGAGAGATGAGAGAGAGGAGGATGGAGAGAGAAGAGAAAAGACAGGGATGGAAAGACAGAAAGAGGGAAGGGAGGGAGGGAGGGAGGAGAAGAAGAGAGAGGAGAGAGAGAGAGAGAGAGAGAGAGAGAGGAGAAGAGAGAGAGAGAGAGAGAGAGAGAGAGAGAGAGAGGGGGGGGGGGGGAGAAAGAGAGGGAGAGAAAGAGAGAAGAGAGAAGAGAGAGAAAGAGAGAGAGAGAGAGAGAGAGAGAGAGAGAGAGAAGAGAGAGAGAGAGAGAGAGAGAGAGAGAGAGAGGAGAGAGAGAGAGAGAGAGAGAGAGAGAGGAGAGAGAGAGAGAGAGAGAGAGAGAGAGAGAGAGAGAGAGAGAGAGAGAGAGAGAGAGAGAATGAGAACCAAAATAGCTACAAAATAGCAAAAGAAAAAGCAACACCGAGCGAGAGCCACAAATAGAAAAGAGACAAGAAAATCTTTCCGGATTTCCGACAAGTAATCGTTCCCCCAAAAGACTCCCCTTTTCCCCGTAGTCACACCTGTGCCCCGCTCCTTCTACCGTATGTGCATAAGGACAATCTCAAGTGACCAACAAATAGCAAAATAACCCCTGCAATTATTACATTTTTTAAGGTTTCCATTACTCCCTTAATACAAGCATTCGTCCAGCTACGAGAAAATCGATGGACTTGTACCGTACCATCGCTGGCTTTGCCACCTCGCGACAATCAATACTTTTTCCATGACAATTTCCAATACGAACTGAGCGAGACTTACCCCATCTTTTATTTACATTCTGACTTTGCATTTATTCCTGACGCTTTTTTTATTTTTATTTTTTTTATTACTCTGTCTCGCTTATCAATTCGGCAGGGATGTTTCCGAAAAAAGGGGTTTTTGTTCGCAGCGCTAACAACGTTATATTGAATTGTTGACAAGGAGCAAACATGTGTCAGAAATAAAAGGTATTGTAGCTAGGATACAAAGGATGTGTAGAGAAATGGAAAGGGAGGGAGGGAGGAGGGAGGAGGGGAGGGAGGGAGGGAGGGAGGGAGAGAGAGGAGAGAGAGAGAGAGAGAGAGAGAGAGAGAGAGAGAGAGAGAGAGAGAGAGAGAGAGAGAGAGAGAGAGAGAGAGAGAGAGAGAGAGAGAGAGAGACAGAGACAGAGAGAAATTATTTGCACGCCGTTCCCAATTTTACCCCAAGATAGCATCTACCTAAATTCTCCAATCAAATCATTACATAATCAGATCTATCTCTTCTTCTTACAAACAAAACAAAAAAACAAACACAAAACAAAAGCCATCATCAAAGCCGCAGACAAACAAAACAAGACACACATCAACAGCGTAAACCTGAACGACCCCCAGCCGCCCTGCCGAGACCCACCCACGGATCCACTTGTTCACTTGTTCACTCGTTACGCCAGACACACACGGATACGTAGCGATGGAGGAGGGAGGGGAGGGGGAGGGGGGAAGGGAAGGGAAGGGGAAGGGGGGAGGAGGGAGAGGTGGGAGGGAGGTGAGGGGGAGGGGAGAGGTGGGAGGGAGGGGAGGGAGAAGGGAGGAGAGAAGGGAGGGAGGGAGAGAGGGTGGGATGGGGAGGGAGGGGGAAGGGAGGGGAGGAGGGTGGAGGGAGAAGGAGGGAGGGGAGGGAGGTGGGAAGGGGGGAGGGGAAGGAAGGAAAGAGGAGGGAAGGGGTGCGGGTGGTAATAGGGTAGAGGATGGTGGGGGTGGGGCGAGTGGTGGAGGATAGTGGGGAGTGGTGGAGAATGGTAGGGGTGGGGAGAGTGGTGGGAGGTGGAGATAATATGGGGGGGGAGTGAGGTGGAGGGATGAGGGTAGGAAGGAGAGAGAGAAGAGGATGAGAGGGATGGAGGATGGGGAAGGGGTGGGGTATCTCGGTGCCCCGGGTATGCAAATGAATCGTCGACGAATATGGCCCGAGACACTCTTGTGATAAATCCTACGGGTTGATGCCACACCCCTGCTGTGTAGGCCGGGGGGGGGGGGGTAGAGCATGGTAGGGGAGGGGTATCCAGAGGCCTAAGGAGGGCGGCTGTTTCCTAAGGGGTAAATTTGTCCCTTTTTGTAGGAGTGATACCATTAATGGTGGTTCTAGGATGCTCAAGAGATTATAATGATCATTATCGCCATCGTCGTCGTTGCCATTATCAATGTTATATATCTTGATAATAATATTAATATTAGTATTATATCTTCATAATATCAATACTAATAATAACATTTAATAACAATAAGGTTGGTGATTATGAAGATGGATATTATACTGATGATGGTGATAACAGAACTACTACTAATAATAATAACAATAACAGTAATGATGATAGTGGTAATGCTAATAATATTATCATTATTATCATTACTGTTAAAAAGATAATAGCAATAACAGCGATGATAATAATGATAACGATAATGATAATACTAATATTCTAAAGTACATAATTCTCCCTTTATGATCGTATTTACTCTATTCATTATTACCAAATTGATTTTAGCGACATGGTAATAACTGCAAAACAACAACATAATTATAAAATAATTTTATACAATGATAATAATTATTATATTATATTAACATAATAATATGGCCATGATAAGGATGATGGTTATGATAAAAATAATAACAATTAATAATAATATTTAAGTAATAATAGTAATGATATAATAATAATATAATAATAATAATAATAATAATAATAATAATAATAATAATAATAATAAAATTTAAGTAATAAAATAATAATAATAATAATAATCTAAATATGATGATGATGATGATACTACTACTACTAATAATAATAATAGGGATGGCAATGATCATGATAATAATAATTACAATGATGATGATTACCACAATCATACCTAATCTGATATAAAGACGTTGCACAACTTATTGCTTTTTCATTTGTATATTTGTTTTGCTTACAAACTACAATATTTTATTATGATGCACCGAGTGAAATAAACAACAAAATCAAGTCATAACAGCTTTTTATTATACAAAAATAGATTTCTTACTTACATATATACAATGGTTGACTAGGGAAATAGAACTTATTACATTGGTACTATTCTTAACAAACAGCCAATTGCACCTTTAATGGGAATTTGAGAACAAGTTAATTACTAGACACATTTGGGGCTAACCATCAAACAGTACCAGAGTTAATGCGAAGGACCTACTTGAAGCCAAATCACTGGTTTATCACTACGGCAGTGTTGGGAAACTATGCTATGGTACTTTCACTAAATCTGTGTTGGATCTATGACCACAAGGGTATAGTTACTAGGACTATGGCATATTGGAAGGATGCTAGTCTATTACCACTAGCCACAACACGAGTTTACAGTCAAGGTACCGATACGTCACTGAAGCAGATGATGATTCTGCTTGGAAGTCTGAAGTACTCCTTTTTGTGCTTGATTTCTCGTAAGACCACGTCCTCCCTTCTCGCACTGGCTTGTAAATGATGCTGAGGGAATCGTTGACATCTGGGTGACACATAATCTTTAGCGTTACGGAGGGATGGCGATGCAGTTAATGATTAGAAGATTATGCCAACTGTGTCGAGGAAGCCCTGATAACGACAGATTCACATCCGGGAGAAGGGAGGAGCTGGGGACCGAGATGTACGACGCCACCGTTGGAGAAGGTGGATTCAGCAACGTGGAACGGCCACTTCTGGAGATACACAAGTAACTGTAAACGTTCTTCCGTTGAGGAACACTTGCAAATTTGATAATATCCCAGAGGAAACTTTTCGCAATATCGTCAATCTAATGCATGAGTACCATCACAACGCGCGACAAGACCAGCTGATAGGTATGGGACACCACTAATTCCTGTATAGGTTGCAGATTTAAACTTTCCGTACTGGAGACACATAAACAGCGTTTGAAAGTCTTCACTGAATTTCTGAAGGGGAATATATATCACTGGTCACCTTAAGGACGTTTGACATAAAGAAGGTATCACTAAGTTTTGTAATGCTCTTAATAAACGTTAGCATTTATTAAAACTGTACAAAACCTACTGGCATTTACAGCACATTAATAGGAGCACTGTGCATCTAGTAAGCATGTGGTTCAACAACGAATATTCAAGCATCGCTTTCTTGGTTCGAAAACGCTCGACACCAAATGTCTTCAATGCAGACGGGACTAAACTTTTCTACTAGTAGGAAGTCGTCACCTATATGACTGTTACAACCACTCAACAAAAATCATATTGTGTTCATCACAGACCTTTTGCACAAAGCATCACTAATTAGACTAATAAGCATCATGATAAAGCTTTGGTAATATGACAAGAGGATGGGGAGCCGTGCGTTAGGCGTCCGATCCTCGCGTGTCCCGCCATCAGTGGGTATTGTTACGCGGAGGGTCCGTGGGCTGCTGGGGCCGGGTCTCCACGGGGACCTGGCGGTAGCCGCGCGCCTGAAGGGAGTTGAAGGTGAGGAATCTGTCTCTGTTCTTCCCTGGGTTCATCAGCTCTCGCTATCCATGCTGCTTCCGTCGGAGGCATGCTCGTACTGGTCCGATCCACTGCTCTTACTCCCCCCATACATGGCCGTTGTGGGACATACCATCCTGACGCCCAGAGGGTCGCTGGTCACGCCCATCGGGTCGCCCAGGTCGAAGTTCTGTGGAGGAGGACAGCTCGGCGGGGGCGGGATAATGGCGGCCCAGTTCACCTGCACTCCCGAGTCATCGCTGTGATGCTGCCGAGGAGGCCCATGCCATGCCGGCGGCGACGGCTCTATCCGTGCGTAGGGTTCCGTCATGTCGTTGACTCGCTGGATCTTCGGCTCCGCGTACTCGTTCGCTGGCTGGTCGGGATGAAGGAGCCGCTTCGAGGAGAGACTGGAATCCTTATCACTATCCGACGGTCGCCACAGCTTCTGTTCTCCGTACATGTTGACCGAATGGTGGGCTGAGTAGAGGGACGGGTCCTGATAGAGGGCAGGGGCGTGAGGCGGGTTAGAGGGCGTTGATTTGCCCCGTAAACGCCTCACGTAGAACAGCGTAATGACAGATAACAGCAGCACCACCGGAATCAACAGGTACACCAGCCAAGCCGTTTGTGGCGGGGCGTACAAGACAGAGCCGTCGTCCTCGTCATCTTGGTGGCGCGTCTGAGCGTCAGAGGGGCCAGCGTCCATCAGCACAGGAGCGGTGAACGGGCCGGGACCAGCTTCCGTGAGGGCAGCAACACGGACGGTGTACAGTCGACCTGATACGAGGTCGTTCG